CATGTGAGAAACATTGAACAAAATACGTAATTATGTCTTGTGGATACAGATGCTAGTCAGATAATGCTAATGAAGAAAAGAGAATTATGAGAACGAGATTGAATTCGAAAGTATTTCTTACACGGTACACTCGTTCCTAAAAAAAACCATATCACAATGTATACAGTGTATATGAGAAATGAGAAAATTGGTTCTTTACATCGAAATAATTATATAAAAAGGTGGTAATGGATCATATCATTTTACGTTTAAACTACGTAGCTTTTTCATCAAGATCATGTATAAGAAAATGATTTGAATCATGTTTTTAAACTTATATATCAGCCATAATAATATAAATCAGCCATCTGTTATAATTTTCGAAAGTAGTTGTTCGTCCGCAAATGCAATCTTTAATTAGGTGAATTTGATGAAAATAATCGTGTAAAAAATCCATGTAAAAACATTAAAATGAGAAGAAGACTTTTATTTCTAGAAGGTTATAATTAGATACTTAAAATAGCTATTTTACAGAAGTATAGAAACGACTTTGGAATACGAGTAACACGTAAGAGTGATAGATATTGAAGATTTATAATTTCAGATTAGTATGTCATGAAACGATATTTATAACCTTAATCGTTTTTGATTCTAGTCTTTGTCAATTCTTAGTTCCGGCAAATCCGTATTACCGACTGAATCATATATTAGAAATAGATAATTCGCTATATTAAATATTTTATTTACATATACTACATTTTATGTTTTAATTAAATAATACAATTTAATTTTACACATGTACAAAAAATATAGTATCATCTGAATCACGAAACAATAAAATTATATGGTAAATGACATTATCGAAACAATTATTATTAATAATATTGCATAAAATACATTAATAGCGCATTTCTTGTATTGTTTTGAGATTTGAGAAAAAGTGGTTCAAATATATTTGTTCGTCAGTGGCAACTAAACTCAATAAAGGAAAGACTTAATCAAGTATACTGTGGGGGTTTTAATAACCGCGCAAACGTATCCGCCTGTTATGTAATTATTGAAAAACAGATTAGATCATTAAACCTACCACATCACTGGATCCCACTGGTCTCGATTTTTCCCTCTCCAAATCACTCAAGGCTATCGCAATTTCCGCGGCAACTTTTGCATTATTCCTCACGAGCGCAATATCTGAGCAAAAATCGAATTAATTTAGTTTGCATAGTTTATTCTATTTCACGTATTATTACTCGATTCGAGCGATCTACCATTGGTCGCTTTAGCTAGATAGGATAACAGGAAAGGGGTGATATCTTTTCCAGACACATCCTTTTGTTTTGCCAGCGCGAGAGCATCTTCGATTGCCGCCTCGATTTCCGTTCCATCCATAGAACACTCTGCTGGAACCGGAACTGCGAACAGCATACCGGAATTTAAATTCATTTCCCTGTTGCTCTCTATAACTAAAGCTGCTTCGGCAGCCGAGGACACGCTGTAAGGAGCCTCACATCCGCTTTCCGTGGCGTAGAAGGCAGGAAATCGTTTTGTCGGACCGTACGTTGCAACGAATACACCCTGAGTTTCCTGTAACCATTAATTACATTGAAAATCAACCTCAGTTTATCTTTCTATCTAATACATATATATATATATATATATATAATATCATACCAAATATTCTAAAGTTTTCGGAATATCCAATATCGATTTCACGCCACTGGAAACGACAGCCATGGGCGTCCTTCCCATTTCCATCAGATCTGCAGATACGTCCATCGTGATTTCCGCAGATCTGTGAACTCCGCCGATTCCGCCGGTAGCAAAAATTGGAATACCGACAATATTCGCTGAGAATAGAGTACCCGAAACTGTTGTACCGCCATTCAATTTGTTACCAATGACATAAGCAAAATCACGTCGAGAGGTCTTAATTGAAGGATTCTTCACTACATCTCCAATAAATGAAATATCCTCATGGCTCAAACCGATCCTTATTATTCCTTTTAAAATGGCTATAGTTGCTGGAATTACACCCTTAAAAAATGATTTTTTACTAGAGAACATCAGATTTCACAATTAACTAATATTGTACATAACTTTTAGTCTACTGCATTTCAGTATTAATTTAACAGAAGACCCTCATAAATGTCTATAGAATGTAATACTATTAAACTTAACTAAACTACATTTATAAAGTTAATTAATTAATTTCAAATCGACTAAAATTGAAATTGATTCAAGACGGGACGATGTATTCTCGTCCTATTGGCGCGCGCGCCAAAATTCTATTTAAAAAAAATGGTATTTTTTATTTTCGTATGTAATTGGAAACAGAATTGTTGAAGAAAGACATTTGAGAACCCAGGTTCCACTGAATTAATTAAAATTGGCAAGGCATCGTTAGCAATTTGTATGGTTAATATTTAATTTTACATTGAGATAATACTCACATCTATAGGACCTATAGATTGACCGTTAAATATGAAAAAAAAATGTTCTTAGCATGATTGTTTTAACACTCCTTTGGAAAAAATACGGAAACAACTTGAATTTACTTGATAAAACAAGATATGCAACCCAAAGAGCAACGTAGTCCTTTTTATGCAAAGTATAAATAAGAAGTCTATTTAAATCTGTCGTACCATTTCTCGAACTTGAGCTTCAACGCTAAGAGCACATTCAACATTTTTTGGGAATGGCATTCCATGCGTTATAATCGTCGATTCCAATGCAACAACAGGTAATCTCTTTGCGAGTGCATGTTGAACCTCTTCGCTGATTATTACGCGATCTGAAATTTTCTTCAACGTACTGTACTGCCTTCGGTAATCACGAAAAACGCGAAACATTTTATTTGAAACGAACAAGTACACACTTCTCACTAATTATTGGTTAACTTTCTAATGTAAATAGTAAACATACTAGGCAACTAAAATAACTTGACTGTGATAAAGAAAATCATTTATTTACATTTCACTCAACTCTAGATCGGATAAATCTTGCACTTTCGTATTTAAATTTTCTCTGCTTTCGCTTGAAAATGCATTCACCCTATTCTCTTCTAAAATGGAAGTAGAAGAAGAAGGATGAGAGGAAGACTCATCTGCCGACATATTCTTGTCGTTGTTCAAATTAAATATAACTTTTTTCTTGCTGGACACTCGATCTGAGTGAACTTTTAAAACGCCTCTAGGAACATCATCGTATTCACTACTGCTCAATTCACTAACATCGTCTATGGAATTCTCTGTTTTATTTCCATTTATAAATGGTCTGAAATAGAAGAACAATATTTGTAAACTCAAACTTATTAGATATCAACATAATTATACATATCACTTTTCATTTTCTTATTTAGTTCCTTCAAAATATTTTCCCGTAATCGAGTGTAGTTTGTAATACTCTAAAAATATAAATAGTATTAATATGTATCTTATACAAAAATATAAAATGAAAACCTTTTTGCTCAATGAGGATTTATGTTTAACTATCTCAAATACTTTGTCAAACGTCTTTGGAGGTAGGCTTTTCCATTCAGATACAACGCCTATGTTTTTCAGTTTTAGTGCAATAACATTCTGCAGTTCATTACGAAAACTATGGTACAAGTCCGGATCTCGAACAGCCTCTTTCAAACTGCAATTATACAATAGATACTATTTTATCAAAGTAACTTAAATGAATAACATTTACCTAGTATTTGACCTTTTTGCCAAAGTGGATACTGTTGTTGGTGTTTTAAGATGAACTTCTTGTTGCTCTTCGGACATATCTAAATCATCTTCAGAAGTAGTATATTCTGTTGCTACAACCATAATTTCTTGCTTCTTATCAACATCTATAATTTCTTGATTCTTGACAACGTTTACAATTTCTTGATTCTTGACAATTTTGGGACTGGGCATCGAACTTTGCGAACTTAATCTCCGCTCTTTATTATCATTTTCTGTGCCATTATGAACTTCACTCATTACTTTTGTAATCATTTTTGGACTATCGCTGAGTACTGTTTGAAAAGGTTTTATAACAATAACTTCGTCTTCTTTTTCGGTCTCCGATTCCGAAAGCGTTATATTAGAAACCATATTATTACTGCCAATAATCGTTCTTGACTTTTTCTTCGGACTATAAATCTTCATTTGTTCTAACTCATTCAATTTCTGCTGTTGCATTTTACCGGAAACTTCAAGTTCGTTCAATTTTTGTTGATGTAATTTTACATAATCCTCCAATTTCTTCGATTGTTCTAAATCATTTAATTTATTCTTAAACATACCCATTTCCATTTCAAGACGATTTAAGCTACCAGAAATTTTCTGATCCAATGCGTTTTCTATTAGTTCCTTTTGTAAATTCAATTTTAATTCAATGGCCTTATATTCAAATTTATGATTAGTTTCTTCTTCTACTAAATTTGTTTGTGTGGAAGATTCTTTTATTTCTATAGAGTCTCCAGCGCCTTGTTCAACATACACTTTCTTAGGAGACTGAAGTTTTTCATACATTTCACCAAAACATTTCTGATAGATTTTGCTATAGAAGTTTTCGTCCTTTAATGATCCAAGTTCTTTATTTATATAATCTTTAAGTTGTTCGAATTTCTCTTGCATCTGTTCTTCGCTTCGAAATACCAAGTCGTTGTTTGGTTCTTTCTCCGGTAAATTTTCATTCTTTTTGGTATCTTGTATCACATTCTTCTCCGTATTATTTAACCGCTGCTTCAATTCTTTAATTTCTAATTGCAACTTTTCAGATTCGGTCTGTAAGTCAAAATTATTGTGTCGCCGTTTGATATGTGCGTTCAGATAATCCTCTGAATAGAATACCTTGGGACACTCATCGCATTTGAATGTAACAGTTTTCACGGTATTTAAAGCTTTTTGTAAATCCAAATTCTGTTTTTGTAAAGACATGTTCTCTTCTTTTAATTCAACAACGCATTTTTGTAGATCCTCATTATCCTGGAAATAAAATAATTGCTATTAAGGTGTTACAAAATTTGTTTAAAATAATATTTGTTTACATATATGATATATTATTACTAAATAATATATATATATATAATAATTACTTCACTGAATACTGCCAAATCTCTTTTTAAAAGTATGACAGTATTATCTAGGTAAACTTTGCAATACTTCAAATATTGAATTGCCAGTTGACACAATTGGAAAATTTTCACAAAGTTTGGCTCCAGAATCCTTGACAATTCTTCATCCAGTTGGAACTGTAAAATTGTAGGTATATATTTTACAACCGTTGCTATGTCGCGATCTCTGGTAACTCGTTCTATATCGACTAAACCTACAAAGTAAATGTAGTTATATTTTTGCATTCAAGAAAAAAAAAACTATATATTATTCTTACTCAGTGAGCTAATGTCGAAAGCAATCTTGGATTTGGATTCGTTGAAACAAAAACCACTGTCCCATGCTAATCGCACATAATCAAAATGCAAATGGTTTTCTGTCGAGCACATAATTATTTAAAGAAAGTACATTTATTTTATAAATATACATATATTTTCCAGTATATATCAACTTGAAATATACTGATTGACTTGTGTCAGAGTTTGTTTGTAAACATGTAATATCGATGTAGGCAGGTGCGAGTGGTGCGAGTTGTCCTAATGCTACCTCTACTATTTTTTCTCGTCCAATTAATTTAGAATGTAATTATTATTAAGTATTCAAAAATTCATAAAACCAATTTAAAAATCAATAGCCATACTTCGATTATTATTAATTCTTCGATTATTTATAACGTCTAATTGTCATTTCAATCTGGCGTTAAAATAATAACCCAAAAGATAAAATAAATAATATGCAATTTTATTTTAAACCTATGTATCATTATTATATAGCATTTTGTGCAAAAAAAATATACTCTTCTTCAATTATCGGACGCTACCACCTAACGGTGGCGGCGCTACACTACATTTGATGCCTTACTGCGCCTTACTTTCTTCCCGCCTTTGCCAGTCACATTCTGGTTGCTCTTTTTTGTTTTTTGTATACAGGCTTCGCGTCTCTGAATTTACGTGTTAGAATTTTTTATACGCGATATAAATTTACCCCACAAAATATAAAATTCAGGCACGACTCTAATTCCAATATTCTTTTCGTTGTAATTAAAAATATATCAAATATTCTAAATTCTAAGATTTATAATGTTGGCACAATGGTTGGCACTACCTGACTGTCACATCTAAAAGTTTGAAATCCTTACAAAAAGTAGTATACAGTAGTATATTTTTCGTTAACGGTTTTGCTCACTTCAAAAACTGTTGTGTTCGTTGTGCTTGTTATATTATTAACGAAAAATTGAAGAATGGAGTCATCTAAGAATGTGGAATATCTGGTTGATGAATATCTCAGAAAGGAAGAAGTGCCTGCTAAGTATTTTAGTAAAACTAAAACAATGATCAAAGGTATGATGACTCATGAGGCTTATGGGAATCCAGAGTAAGCTAAATAGAAAAAAAAAATAAAAACTATTTTATCAAATGTTGTTTCTTTTTTTGCAGATATGAATGGTCATTAAATGATTTTGAATTAGGCAAAAGATTAGGACGAGGGAAGTTTGGAAGGGTCTATTGTGGAAGAGAAAAAAGGTCCGGTTACATAGTTGCTGTGAAAACTTTGGTCAAATATGAAGTAGCTAAGGAAAAAGTGGAACATTTAGTTTTAAGAGAAATTGAAATTCAATCACATTTGAAGCATCCAAATATTTTGCAACTCTTAACATGGTTTCATGATGATTTTCGTATCTATCTTGTGCTAGAATATGCAGGACAAGGGGAATTGTATCGACACCTGAAAAATAGCCCTGGTGGTTATTTCAATGAACATCTGTAAGTAGATAGATTTAATAAAATAAATAAAATTTCTTATTTTTCATATTAATATTTGCAGAGCTGCCAAATATTTATATCAAGTTGCTGATGCTTTGAATTATTGCCATAAAAATCAAGTAATTCACAGAGATATTAAACCAGAAAATCTATTGCTTACATCTAGAGGTGATGTCAAATTGGCTGATTTTGGATGGTCAGTCCATACTCCATCATTGAAAAGAAAAACCATGTGTGGCACATTAGATTATCTTCCCCCAGAAATGGTTGAGGGTAGAAGTTACAGTATTCATGTGGACCAGTGGTGTTTAGGTGTTTTATGCTACGAGTTTGTTTGTGGATATCCACCATTTGAAAGTAACAGTTCAGAGGAGACATATCAAAAGATCAAAACTGTACAAATTAAGTTTCCTTCTCAAGTCCAGCCTGGTGCAATTGACTTAATTAAAAAGGTATAGTATATTAACAATGAATTAGAATAAACTTATTAATTTTATATTTACAATGTTTTAGTTGTTGATCCATGATATGACTAAAAGACTAACGTTGCCAGAAGTGTTAAAACATGAATGGGTTGTAACTAATATGTGAGACCATCAATACTATTTTTATGAACATATTTTAAGTTATTATATAATAAAGTATACCTTTTTTTCTTTTTAATTGTTATGCTAATTGTTTTTTGATACATATGTAGTCAATATTGTTAATTGTGAGTTTTTATTGACATTTTTTTTAAAAGAAAGAATGAAAAACAATAAAACTTCTAATTCAATATCACTACAAGTACGTTGTGTATCCAGAATCGGCACATTTAAGATAAAATAAACACATTATAAATGTAATATGTGTATATCCATTATATTCTTAACTTCTTGAAGGACCAGAAATTCTTACATTTCTAGACAACTGAATCAAACAACTTCGTCAACTGAATGATATGGCCTATCATTCATTCAATTGATATACCAAACAAATTAAAGGATAATTCCTCTTTCCTGGACATTTCCTAGAAATGTTTCCTAATACCCTACTAGGCATGTTCAAAAGGTGGTACATTGCGTGTACCAGTGCCACTATATTGACAGCAAATTCTATAAAAAATCCTTTAGAAAAATAGGGTCTAGTCTCCTGTTAGTATAATAATATTTAATATAATCGGTAATATTTATTTTAAAATTACGATGTTCCAAATTAATCTTCCTTCCACCACCCTTCTCATATAGCTTGTGCCGAGCACAATTTGTTGTTCCAAATTAATGAGACTTCTGTTGTTCAATACACATCAGTAATTTGTCTATTCTACTTCAATTGCGTTACTCAATGCTATTCGCATACAATAGTGTATTCGGATTATTTACATACTTTTGTTTTAATATTGACCATTGTAGAAAATCCCTTTTCGCACGGATAATCGTTTCGAATATGTATCCAAAATTGCACCAAACTTTTTTTCTTGAAAAGTGAATTTAAACTTAAATCCTTTGTCAATTCAAGCAGAGTGTCATTGTGTATTAGTGGTAAATTTATATTATCCCAATTATTATAATCTATAATTTTCTGCTATCGAGTTCATTATTTGAAAAATATTTTTGGAGATGACATTGAATTAAATTAAATTTGTATGTTCGTTATCAAATTCACAATTATTTGCAATCATTTTAGAAATATTTCGAAAACATTCTATTCATTTCATTTAAGAATTGCTGCTCTATACCAGGGGTGGTTTTTGTGTACAAAAATTCTACCTTTTATACTAAAAATGAGTTGCGATCTACTTGTTATCATAGACGTAGTCTAAGTGGGGTGATATGTGAAATATATGCTATATTTATATATCTGCCTATGTAAAAAATAACATAATTATTTAGTTAGACCTCGCGATCGACCAAAATAGGCTTCGCGATCGACTTGTTGACCGCCCCTGCTGTTAACAATAGAATATTAATGTTATTTTTATTCACGTAGTAATAACGCTCATTTTTCGGTCTATATCGGACTTTGATCCGAACAAAGAAAAATATGCTACTAGGTGCAATTTAATTGTGATGATCTCTAAATATTTCCAATTCAAATATTTTTTATTTAAAAAATGTATGGGTTTTTGAAGGGTAGACATCCCGAGATTTATAAGTTCCGACGATTCATATGTCGAAGCCTCCATATAGAAATATTCTTTTAATTTAAAATGAAGTACGGTTCATGAAAAAGCAGCACAAGAATTGGTCACCTTATTCATAAATTGCAATTAATACATAAGATACTAATTTTTAAATACTACAACGTTATTTTAACTTAAACTATTGTATTTCCAACAGTCAAAAGAGTGAAATATTGCAAATCAATTTTATAACTTGAAAAAAAGACTTACGATACAAATGTAAATGTATACAGCAAAGTACTGTCAAAAATAAATTATAAAAAATATCGATTAGTCCGATTTCAAACACTCCAATACTCGTATATTAATGTAATTGTATCATGTTGTACTTTCAATAGACCATAACAATTGGGTTCATATCATATTGTTTCATATGTATATCTTATTTGATTTACTGAAAATTCATGCAACTGTTGCAGTAAATTTTAAAAATAGGATTCTTAGTATTTCTTTATCAGTATAACAATTTGTACAACATTTAATGCATTAGGCATATGTAGTATTGGTATTGACTAGTATAAGAACTGAAGCAAATAGAAATAAATCAAATGCGAAGTTTCAGTATTTTAGTATATATATATTTAGTATTATCAATGATATAAGTAAATATCTTGAGAACAAACTATCATTAAAAATAATAAAATAGATATAATAAACTAACGGAAAAATTACGTAAGATCGACAGCCAAAAAATGTCAAGAAGTAAAAAAAGTCAATTCAAACTGTTAAACTTGATCTTTTCAACAATTTTCTATGTGACCAACAAATATTACGCAAGATGTACGTGTGCACATTTGCAAAATTCCAGACCAGATCAATACAGCTAAAACGGACTATAATTACGGCACTTTTTCTATTTACGGCGCACAATGTTTGTTATTTTCCGGTAAGTATATATGACCACCAGGACCACATAAAGATTTCCCCGGCAATTTATTAAAATATACAATAGTAAATTCTTAAGAGCATTAATATAATAAATTTATTTTTGCATTCATTAATGTATATAGAAAAAAACAGACATTTTAGGGAAATTATATTATATCAAATGATACAAGTAAAAAAAAGATAATTTGAAATTTTGTAATTTTTATTCTCTTGTAACACAAGGTTTTTTTTAAATCGTTTCTATGTTAAAGATTCACGCCAAACGAGGATATTGAAAGCATTCCACTCCATGAACCCCAAATAGAATGAACCACCTGCAACAAAGAAATTACATAAAATAAAAAAATATTACAAGTAATTTATATCAATAATTATAGATATGCAAACAAAATACTGCTTAAAGTAATACTATTTACATACTTTATACTGAGAAATTACTATTTATAAAATTAAAAAGCACTCTGCAAAGCAAAAGTATTTTATTTCATAGCATTTGCTTAATTGCTAACTGAAAACCTAACCATAATATCAAATAATGTATTTGAGAAACTGTAAATCAAGTATATAATATTACTGTTAGACAAATAAAGATGCTGATTTATACCTAGTGAACAGTATTTTATACTTTAAGCAAAAAAAAATCATGCATATCTACGAAATGAGCGCACATTTGCTATATTAACACGTGTTACTAGATAAAACATAATATGAAACAAAATGGTACTCACATAATGAAAGATCTACTTGGACCTCGCACGCATCTTCCTGCGTTTACGCTTTAGCCTACGCATACGCTTCTTACGCCACTGAAATTAAAAAATATATATATGAAAACCCATTTGATTTTAGCATTGAGAAGAAACATCGAAAACACGCCATGCTTTAGTATTTACACACTAACAATGGCGTCCTCTCAACGAATTTTCAAATCAGAAATGTGGAAATAACGAACAAATCGAAAGAATAATATAAAAATAATATTGTATAATTACCTTAGCTCTCATCCTGAGCTGTTACTTAAACTTCGGGAGAAGGATTACTCCTAAAGCCGGAGATAACAGCAGATGTTGTTGCAAGGACAACGGATAAGACGAAAATGAGAAAGAGCTGAGGGCGAACGGAAACTTATTGCTTTTTTTGGTAGTGTCAAGCTATTGCCAACCTATACCGACAGCGCTGTATATCCGGTTTGTGTCTAAACTGAAAATACAGAAAAACTAGATTAAATTGAATTCAAACATATGATTCTATATCTCATTATCTAATATTTTCCTAAAGTTAATAATTATTGGTTGTATTTATTGAAAAAGTCCTATAATTAATATATTAACTGTTTTAGTATGCAACCACCGATAGATGGCAGTTAAAAATTTAAAAAAACCGGTAAATACAAATTTAAAATTGTTTAATTTAATGTTATTTAATAGAATAATCACATTATTCAACCTTTTTACATATTAATTAATGCTTTATTTATAATTAAATTCATAACTAAGCAAATATTGTATATACTGCTCATTTCGTTTAAATAATTAAAAAATAATTAAATCTGTATAATAATCATTATATGAGAATTATTTTAGCGATTTATTTTCAATGGATTTTTATAAATGTTAGTCAGCATACTCAGTCATATTCAGTAATGCACACAGTTGCTCACAAGTTGCACACCTGAGTTGCCATTCGTAAGCTAGTAAATAATTACGCGGGAAATTAATAATTTAACCTAATTTTTGTATTTTGTGTTTCTATATAGTTTATAGTCGGACTATAGTAGTTATTTAAGTTCTTTTCGTTTGTGTTTAATTAACAATAAAAATGGATAGATGTGGTCGTGTTACAAGATCATCAGCAAGGAAAAATAATATTAAAGTAAGCATGCCAGAAACAAATTCTTCTAAAGTAAAGAAATCTACGAGTAAATTAAACACTGCAGATTGTCTTGAAGGAATTGAATCGGGTTATTATAAAGCAAAAATGGACTCTGATGATAGTGATTTGGAAATTATTGAAAATATTTCCATCAAAAAAATTGCAAAAGCTAGAGTAAAAATAAAAATGTCTGAAAGGAAACAACCACAAATAGAATCTGATAATGAGGACGAAAGAGTGCAAAACAATGTTTATAGAAATAGAAAAGTAGAAATTCTACAGGAGCAAAAAAAAAGTGTAAAGCCACAAAATGTGGCTGTAATACATTCAAATGTGAATAACAGTAAGGAAGTATTAAAAGAAATACATGAACCACAGAAAGGCACACCGAAACAGAAAAGGTCATTAACTGCTGTAAATGAACTGGAAGCAATTTCTCAAGTTACCCCACCAAAACAAAGGAAATCAAATGATAATTCTCTGTTTAGTCCATCAAGTTTATTAGAAAAATTGGAATTGAATAGTCCTCCTCCTAAAGAAAATAAAAGCAAGCCAAAGAAATTGTTTGAATCTGAAACAATATATCAGAGTGCTAGAAAGGCACTACATAGTACAGTTCCTGTTCAAATGCCTGGTCGTGAAAATGAACATAAGCAGTTGAGGGATTTTATAAAATGCCATTTAATGAACAAAACATCTGGTACATTGTATGTTAGTGGACCACCAGGAACAGGAAAAACTGCATCATTATCTACAATATTACAACAGCCAGATATAATTACTGAATTTAAAGAAGTATATGTAAATTGCACAGCTATAAAATCATCAGGTTCAATTTATTTAAGAATTATACAAGAACTTGGAATCAAATCATCTAGTCGCACAGAAAAAGATTCTGTTGCAGCCATAGAAAATTATTTGTCCACAAACCATAAAATGATGTAAGTAATAAAGAAACATGTAATGTATTAAATTAATTTATTTTATTTATTATAGTTTACTGGTACTTGATGAGATTGATCAATTGGAAAGTAAAAAGCAGTCAGTCTTGTACACAATATTTGAATGGCCATCAAGGAAAAATTCTAAGATAATATTAATTGGGATTGCTAATGCATTAGATTTAACTGATAGAATCTTGCCAAGATTGCAGGCTAGATGTGAATTGAAACCTCAACTAATGCATTTTGCTCCATACTCTAAACAACAGATTGTTGAAATTTTTACTGATAGATTGAGATCAGCTGGTGTTCTTGATTTGTTTGTGCCTGTAGCAGTCCAAATGTTAGCTGGAAAAGTGGCTGCAATTTCAGGCGATGTAAGGAAGGCCCTAGATATAGGAAGGAGAGTTATTGAAATTGCTGAGAAACATAAGAAAGAAGAATCTGATAAAAAAGTTGATTTGAAACATGTTATGGGAGTTTTAAATTCCGTCTATGGTACATCAAACAATTTAAATGAAGATAATGATGATTCATTCCCGCTTCAACAAAAAATTATAGTTTGTACCTTATTATTAATACTTAAGAAGGCCAGGAACAAAGATATTACTGTAGGGAAATTACATGAAGTATATAAAAAAGTGTGCGGAGTTCGGAATTTGTCGGGCGTCGATCAAGCTGAATTCGTGGGACTTTGCTCTTTGATTGAAACAAAAGGTATTATTCGTGTAAGCGGTAAAAAGGAACCCAGGTTGCATAAAATTAATCTTGAATGGGACGAAGAAGAAGTTGCTGCAGCATTAAAGGATAAACAATTAATGGCAACCATTTTACAAGACTCTAGTGTTCTAGGGAAAATGTAATTTTAACCAATGATAAATAAAATTCAATAATTTATGATTTCATTATTTTCGTTTTAATTTCCGAATTGTTGCTTATAAATGGAAGAAACTGTTATAAATATGTGATTTAAAATATTATGTTAAATGTTTGTGTTTTGTACAATTAATAATATTTATATTCTTTATGAATTTATTTTAGTCTTTATTTATACATTGTGACGTAACAATTATTCTAAAGGAAAATATACTAAATAATTATGTTAACAGCTCAACAACTAATTTCAATTAAATAACTAAAACATATCTATGATGATCTATGAAGCCTGTCTGTCTACAATCTTCATTTAGCGGATCGCGATTATTTTTACAAAATAATTCCTAAAGTCAGACATGTATTAAAACGGGTCTATATCGCAAGCCCGACAACCGAAATCCCGTCTATCGAAATCCTGAGTGTATTGAAATCCCGACGTTCGAAATCCCGAGTGTATCGAAATCGGGATTTCGAATAATAATTATTAATAATCTTAATAAGTTTTAGATTGTCGGGATTTCGATACACTCGGGATTTCGATAGACGGGATTTCAATACACTCAGGATTTCGATAGACGGGATTTCGGTTGTCGGGCTTGCGATTGCCACCGATATGAAAGCATGTTCTAAATATGTTATGTAATACTTGATAATTTCAATTACTTTGAAGTATTTAAAAAAGCGAAATGATAGGATTTTTTAAGAGATTTACATCAATTATTATTGCTATAAATCATAAGGGTTCGAAACAACTTCTTCGTATCGGATTTTCGTGATACAGGCGACCATAGCCACACGGATACGGCCGCCCCTAGCAAGGATTGACAGGGATTAGTGTGGCAAAATACACCATCAGGTGCGATCTTAGTTGCATACTTTGTGTGTTGATTGGATAGACCAGCAGAAAATGTACATGATTGAAATAAACTTTTCTTTTATTATAGTTACGACTTAATTTATGATTTTTAACTGTTGAAATATACTTAGTTACACAAATTAATAATTTTCATATATGCAACTACATTTACGTTGTTTACTCCTTTATATAATACATTTTTTGACATTAGTAAATTGTATAGGAGAATTTTGACAGTTTTAACAAAACTGGTAAGTTTATAAAGATTTTAAAAAATAAGTCAGTATCCAATATCCAAAATTTCAGTGACAAATTTTACCAAATGTGTATCTAGTCATTATAATGAAGCTGTGTCTGCCTGCTAAAGTTTCTTTGTACTGCTACTTGGGTACAATCACAAGTTTTTCATTTTTGTTACTTTTGAGTCCAATACAAAGTGTCTATTTTCCTATATTATTGTACTTAATTGCTAATGTACTTATAAAATGCATAAGTACAAATGAATATTATGGGGTCAGTTACAACACTATTATATTATGAACATATTCTAATATTATTTTTTTTAGTTTGCTGTACGAGCTTCATTTCTGGGATTTGTTTTCTCATTGGGACTCTACACATTCCAGTTGGCTCCAAATGAATATTATATTTTTGGAATCTACATGGCAGTTATGTCCTTTTTCCATTTTACAGAATTTCTTTCAATAGCATTGATACAACCAAAGGAGTTAAGTGTCAGATCATTCCTTATTTACCATAGTCCTGAATATGTAATAGCAGCAGTTTCTTCATGGCTTGAATTTTTCTTGGAAGCTTACTTATTACCAGGTAAATAACTCAATATTAATAAACTGTACTTATTTTTTGCTTATTTAATTGTAAACATACTTTATTTATGTTTTAGATATGAAAATCTATAAAGTTGTCTCATATCTTGGCTTAGTAATCTGCATTTCTGGTGAATTTTTGAGGAAGTTAGCAATGATGACTGCTAATTCAAACTTTAATCATATTGTAAGTTAATTCCAGTAAATTAAATATTTGGTAATGTATTTTTATATATTGGTTTTAGATTCAATACACAAAAGCTGATGAACATGTGTTGGTAACAAATGGAATATACAGTATGTTCAGACACCCCAGCTATGTTGGCTGGTTTTATTGGTCAATTGGAACGCAGGTACTTTGAATAAGGTTTATCAGATAAAATAGAAATTTTAAAATACTTTTTTTAGATCATTTTGATGAATCCAATTTGCTTAATTGCGTACACATTAGCAAGTTGGTATTACTTCAATGATCGCATAAGAGTCGAGGAAATCACATTGTTGAATTTCTTCGGCCAACAATACAGTGATTACCAACAACATGTAGGAACTGGGCTACCTTTTATTAATGGTTATATTGTTAGAGGTACTGAATTTCGCTAATTATTGCTTTTTATTAATCTCTGCTTTCTGATCAAGACTTAAGAGTATATATTTCTTCTAATGTATATTTTTGTATTTTTAACATAATTTAATAACAATTGAAAATAAAATCTGTTGTACATCTTATAGTTATTTTGCTTTAAATACTTATTTAAATTATATATTTTTTATTAACAAAACAAAGAAAAAATAAAGAAAACATTCATATATTTATAATATATTTTATATATGGCATATTTTGGCGTAAATGCTTTGGCAACAACTAATTTATGAATAATAATAAAATCCCACACAATTTCTTTTCTTTCAAATAAAGAAATTAAAATCGAACATTACAACATTAAATAATAATAATAATAGTGAAGCAATAAAACCTATGAAATAAAATAAAAACAAAAAATTAGCTAATTATTTTTAATTTAAATATTAGTGTTTTATTTTTATCTGGTTTTCATCCTTCTTAAATTGAAAATACTATTCATATTTTATGATTTATATGACTTTTTTTGTTAGTAAAAATAGAAGGCATTTTTTTCTTGTATGTTTTTTTAATAACACAGTTCTTTTGTTACCCTAAATATTTTATCTTTTATACACTAAATATTTTTTAAAGAAAAATATATTTGATATTTTAATAAATCACTAATTTTAGTATCACTAGATATTTTGACTATTTTCATTTTACTCAAATACTTTGTATTTTTAGTCCATTAATAAAAATTGGTAATTATATTGGAATTAAATAATATTACTGTAAACTTTTCTCTTAAAAAAAAAATGAAAACCTGCTGACTTGTACTGTAAGTTAACTGTCAAACTCGGTCTTCACATTGACCATATCACCGGTTAGTGTATTCACAAACACCTTTTCACCCTCATTATTGTTTAAGTTCAAACTGATCGTCCCGTCGTTGTCTCCGCCTTCGTAGATCACATCATCTTCGTCATCATCGTCGGATGTTTTGGCGGTTAGCTTTAATTGATCGCAAACCATGAATGCTTCCGGACCGATCGTTTTGTTTTGCATGAAATGCACCTTTCTGTGATCCTTCAATGATTGTATATGCTCTACAGAATAATCACAGTGCTCGCAGGTAAATAAGCTTGATATGCCAGATATTGCGATGTGTCCCTTCTGGTGATCGTCCAATTCATCCTTCTGCTGACAGCTAAACGGGCACATTGAACACGACAGCATCTGCTTCTTGTCATCCATGTGATTTGAGGCTTTAGACTCCTAGAAGAAAATATCCAAATTTAATTTCGATACTATGGATTATTAATGATTTACCTCTTCGTTTTCATGGTTAACCAATTCCTGATTATGGTTTTTCTGGTGCTGTTGAAAGTTAGCATAATATTTAACGGAATAATCGCATATAGTGCACTTATACTGCGAATCCGAGCCGTGCAGTTTCTGATGGACATTTAACTGTTCACGCTTCTCAAAGACGGAAGGACACTTCGGACATTTATAGCGCTTTTCTTTCAGTTTACCATTCTTCAGGTACGACGGGTAATTGAACTGGGGATTGCCGTTCCTTGCTTGTTGACTAGTTTCCGGCTGGAGTTTTTCATTTGCTTCTGCCTCGGATTTTTGTTGGAACAGCTCGGTTCCAGACAGAGGGACATGTCTACTCTTGCTATATGAATATTCTATATCCATTTCAACGTCTGAAACAGATTCATCCAGATTTGCGATTATCCATACATCTGTTTGCGGCGAAATCATTAGTTCTGGCTTCGGTGTATCTGGATGAACACTATAAGTCGCCAATAAAGTATTGGTACGCTCTTGGTATTCATTAGTATGTACTTTGGCATGTGCCAGTAGATGCGGTTTTTGGCGTGCTGTGTATGTGCAGGATTCACAGCGATGGGCCAATCGAGCACCATGAAAGCCAACATGAATTTCGTATTCGTTTTCTTTCAAAAATCGCGCTGGACATTTTGAACAAAAATACAAATGCTCCTCCTGCTGCTGCATCATGGATTCGCTCTCGTTTTCATCGTTAATAATATTTCCGTGTTCCATCTCTTTGATTTGTTCATCATCGCTTCTAGTATTATCTACTATTCCGTGAACCATACCATAGTACCCTTGGTGAACTTTACTGTGCGACGATAGAACTCCGGCATTATTACAAACGTAATTGCACTCTACGCACTTATGCTCAGTTTCATTTCCTTTAGAAGGATTCTTCTCTCGCAATCCGTGCATTTTTTCGTGCTCCTGGATGTTGACCTTCCTTAAATTAACATGAGGACAATATCGACACTTATACATCTTAGAAAATTTGTTGCTCTTGGATACCCAGACAAGAGGAATTTCTGGTAAATTTTGCCATTCATAGTGGTTGGGATGAATCTCCTCGATTTCATCAGATATTTCTTCCAGTTCAATGGTTTCTCCGTTTTGCTTCTGCGGCGAAATGTTTATGCCGTGAACTTTCATATGCTGGTGCAACAAATGCCTCTTGCTAACGTTGTAGCTGCATTCAGTACAAGTGTATTGGCCATTAGGTTTATGGAATTGTTTGTGGTAAGTGAATTGAGATTTGCTGTTAGTTACGTAAGGGCATATAATGCACTTGTAGCGTTTCGTTGGCTCCGATTCTGCCGGGGGTTGCTGTTGTTTTTCAATCTTGTGCAAGAATTCACTGGGACTTGTAATACCGTGTAGCTTAAGATGCTGAAATAGATCTTCTTTCTGGTTAACTGCATAATTGCAGTATAGACAACGCCAGGGCGTATTCCGGTTACTGCTGTGCCCTTCCATATGAATGTGAAATTCGTCAGGATCTTCGTTAGAAAACGGACAATGAGGGCACTTATTAGAACCTATTTGTTGAACATCTTCGGGTTCCTCGAAAGACGTATCTGTCGTGCTCTCGAACACCTTATCTGAATGTTGGTGTTGTTTAGAACCAACTATTACCTTGATGTCGCCGCTGTGCTTCAAACGACAGTGGCGCTATAATTAGAAAAAAATAAACGGGTTTAATAATCAAACACAAATAGGTCCTCGAAGAGTATGAGTGCATATAACAACTGTTAATAAGATTGTTAGTAATCTACTTGATTGCGTGCTCTAGACGGATGCATTACTAAAGTGTTATTTATACGATGCAAAAATGTTACTTATTAGTTTTTAGATTAGTTATAGTTAATCTGATTAGATGCAAGCAATGTGTTAGTATACCTGTATGACATGCTTCCAGTTAGAAACCTGGTGGCAGTGGCCACAACGGAAGGGCGCTTGCCCCCGCGTGGTTCCACCACCTCCGACACTTGCCTCAGTATCGAAGTCTCCGATAGTCATGGGACCACCTGAATATCTTAAGCTCCCGATGCCGGCTAACACACCTCCGCTACCTCCAGATGCATATGGACTACCCGCACCGGAGGACGGACTTGAAGAGCTCGTTGTTGTTTGTGTATAATGGCTTCGAACGTGTGCCAGTAGCTTGTCCTTGCAAGGATCCCTAAAGAAGAAATACAATAAAAGATGACCTTATCACACCCGATTATTAACTTTAAATATAATTACTAATATTCGTTATTGAAAATAAAACGCCAATATCAAAGAAAAATAATTAATATTCAAAGTGAGACATTAATATTATATCGCTTCCAACGAATATAGCAACAGTTTTAACATATTTCTAAGAAATTTATCGTTGGAATAATGCAAAGAGAAAACTTTAACTGTGTGTACATAGAACATAATTGTCAATTTTTCTTAAAATAGTATTATATTTTGAAGATTTTATTATTGCTTTAACTAACATTTTCGCTTTTTTAAATTTTGCGTATATTTTTTAAAAATATAATTTAATTGTACCTCACCAGAGGCACAAACAATAATATTTTTTATTGGTCTTTGTTAAACAACAAAATCCAAACAATAAGAATCAACGTTATCGAAATGGTAAAGAGTGAAAAGAAAAGGAAATAAAAATTATTAAAAACAGATATGTTTACTGCAAATTGGTTAAAGAAACAAAATAATACTTTAAACTGGATATGCTAGATGCGAATTAAAAAAAATGACGAAACTTCAATAATATTGCATGTTATTTTAATGTATATAATAATTTATCTATTTATTTATTCCTCCATTTTCTCTCCCTTTCATCAATCACTCAACAAACAAGAAAAATAAAATAGATCCATTTCGCACACGAGCGACAATTATAAAAATATTAATAACAATTCTGGACCGAGCTTTAATGATTCTATACATATTCCAACTAACGGCATCATTTATGCATGCCAAAAATAAATAAAAAAATATATATAATGATTTTATACGTCGCGTATTTCGTAAAATTCGAGTTACAAGCTTAAACCCAACTTATCTTATCATCAAAAGAATTTTTTTATTTATACGCTCTTGAAAGTAAAGATTATTATATATTACGTTAAATTACTTTATGTACTTTAGTCTCATACACTTACAGAAAGAAGTATAAATAGGTGTATGTGGAATAGATAACAGACGACCGAGAAAAAACTCTTTTCAAATCGCTTTATCAGAGACTTCAAAAATCCTGATTCAATAGAAATCAATTTAACTTTCTTTTTTTTTATATATATTTATTACAAACAAGCAATGAAACTATGATAAATTAATCATATTGTTTCTTTATTTCATCATAGTTACTGGTAGCAACAGATTGAAAAAACGAGGAAAATTAAGTAATTAAGATTAGTAAACTAATCAGCAAGATGTGAATCATCTTAACAGTCATAATCCGATATAATTGTTTATCCAAATGAATATTTTTATGGTGTAAAGATTTGTTTCAAATCAAGTATTTCGAAAGCACGGTGAAAATGCACTGCACGTTCTCAGTATCAATGTGGAGGTTCTTTATCAATAAACAAACATTCTTGAATACATGAAATAAATAATGTTTTTATAAACGTGTTAGATGATTGCTTCATCGGGTTACCGTTATTTAGAACACCACTTCTTTCGTGTTTACTTATTTTACTTTAAATTTAATTTCATAAGTATATATGAAGCGTAATCTCCACAATCTATCTTTTGATTTATAAATATAGCCAGCAAACAACATTTGCCTTATCTATGCTATGGAAAGCTTACTTAAGCAAGACGATTTTTGTCATTTATTGGAATTGACAACGCAATCAAACGAAGGTAACAAAATAAGGCGTGGCCATAATTTCATAAAGTCAAGCCAAGAATCTAAACTCTTGCTTCTTTGGTAGCATTTGAAACAAAAATGCTAATTTGGATATATATACACTGTATTAAAAGTGTATAATAAAAATGAAGGATATGAAAATCATTATATACCTCTTAACTATATCGTTCTTATATGTGCATTGTTTTGCAGTTGCAATTACAATTTTTAAGTACATGTCATTAAAAACGTTGACATATCCAATTTATGAAATGTAAATGTTATGCACATGCTGTGTGAAAATCTATTCAAGTTTTGTATAGATTTGCACAATATTACTACTCTTGTGACATAAAATCTCGTGAAAATGTCTCAAGTATTTTCAAAAATCTAGTCTATAAAATTATAGTTATATCTCTAATTGACTTACCGGAAATTGCATTTCTTGCATTGCCACAACGTCTTCTTGCCATCGTTGCCGTTTCCACTAATGCGCTGCTTCTTTTCAGAAGAAAACTTTTGAAAGAATTCGTCTGCTGGTTTGAGAGGCGGCGGAGGTCGCAAACCTTTATTGCTGACCAGTAAGGAACTAAAATCATGCGTGCTCGGAGCTCTTCCAACTTTGGGCAAATCTTGCTGCTGCTGTTGTCTAGGCCTGGTACCCATACCACCACTGGTCTCTTGATTATCCTGGCCACCATTTACATGGATTTCGGTTAGGTATTTGTTGTATTTTGTGTAATTGCGTCGTCCAGTTTCGTCGGTCATCAATACTTTTGCGCTCTCGTGAGCCGGATCCCTTACAGATTTTAGTTTGATGTGTTTGGTGATGTCCCATCGCCAGTTTGAGCGATAAGAACAGAGAGAACATTCGAAAGGCTTCTTGTTCAAATGACCGACGATGTGTACGTGGAACCGCGATGCTGTGGATGCCCAAAACGTGCAATGCGGACATTTGAACACGCGCTTATGTTGTGCCACGGATATGTCGTTACCGTGGGTAGGAATTTTGTCGGTAGTTGGGGTGGGCGTTGGCATAGGGGTTGGTGTGGTAGTTATCGGAGGTGGAATTGGAGTGGTGCTTTGTAGCATTTCGACGACACTGCATTCGCTGCTCGGTGATTGCGTGCGTGTCGATAAATCTATGTAATCCTCTTGCTTCTCATCGACGGACTCATAATTGTTGGTATCTTCCATTTCCGCATCCATCGGTTGATATACCATATTTGTATTCCATACGAAAACTCTATTTTCCATTGGATGCGGTTCTTTATCACTGCTCCTACTGTTCTCTTCTTCAGTCACAATTCCCAAATTGTTAACTTCATCATCGTCCGCGATTTCTTCCTCCTCCTCGTCCTCTTCCTCCTCTTCTGCCTTAACCGAAGAGAAGTATTTAATGGCTTGGGGGCAACTTTTTAGATGCATCATGAGGTACATCGAAGACTTGCAGCGTTGTCTGCAATATTGACATCTGGTGGACGTAAGTTTGTGCATTGAGGTAATGCCCATCGTTGCCGGCGATTCTTTTCCGCAGGTTTTCTGGTGGCTACTGTATTCAGTAAGGCATTTACTTTCGTAGCCACATAAGCGACACTTTAGGTCTTCCGCTTCGCCAGGTAGTTTCTCTTTGAGGCTGTCAAAAAAACTAGACTGTTTTTTGTGAGGTATTTTGTGTTGCTTTGGGAGTGATGATTCTTCAGGCACTTTGGTAAACTGCTTCAGCATATCTTCACTGTTGAAGAGCTTAGCGAAATCTTTGAGCGCGCTATTCCGTGAGCGAGCACATATTTCGTTCATATCCTTCTGGGACATGATTTCTGTTTTGGGTTGTTTGATAGGGATCAAGTTGGGCACCGGACGGGCTGGTTTTCTCTTCAGTGTAGGTAGCGGAATGGGGTTCAGTGACTGCCCGTGGACGCGTTCTTCGTGGCGGGCCATCTCAATATCCCAAGCTGTCTTGTAGTTACACCGTTTGCACTTGGATTTGATGTAAACATTTCCATTCGCGTGCTGGATTATGTCGTCCGGATGAACGAAATCTCCTTCTATATTTTCCTGGCCGCTCTTAAGTTTCTTCGCCGGTATTTTTAGCTTGTTGTGCACCGTTTTCCGTTCGCCACTTGGCTGCGCCTCGCACTGTTCTGGCTCGAGCTGCACCTGAAACACATGTAACAACTTTATGACGCACGAACACCGCGGTCACTCTTTCTTAGCAGTTCTAATGGGAAAGTGTGGGAAGAATGGGGAAGAGTCGGGACGCGAGCACTACCTGAAGAGGAGAAGTTCGCGCTTCGACAACAACCACTTGACAAGAATGTGTGTTTGAAATGACTAAACAAGAAATTCATGTTATCGCTAGGCCCAGCCCAGATCGCGTTATCGGCACCGTTTACATTTATAATACATTTCATATGTGATTAAGTTTATGTGTGTATGCGCACTACATACACTGATAACAGGACTCGCGGCCAGGTATAGAAGTCATACACACTCTTCAAGAAAGAAATTATATCATAAAGAAAAAAACCATAAAAGTGTGAACGGTGGTCTACATCGGTCGCTGTTGCAACAACAAAACTACGTCCACTACGTCTAACACACACCAATTTCCTCCACACATTACACTACTCTCCTCCCACCCAGAAAACTAAATTTCTCCCTCCACGTTGCATGCAATTATGAGTTTCTTAAAATAATGTTAATAATAATTAGAGAATAGTACTCATAAATACACGATAAAAAGGTGAAACAGGAAAAACAAGAAAACAAAAGAAGAACGGAAGAAGAATAGCATATCGAACATAAATATATATAACAGCAGCAATTCCGCATGAATCAGTTACGATTCGATTACGTAAGGACGTGCGCCGTAAGCAGATCCCGCAAGAGCAGGAGGCAATATAAAAAATGAAACGGAAATAATATGAAAAGAAAAAGGCTATATCGCTAGTGCTTTTCGCACATCGAGTGCGCGTATTGAAGAATCTATTAATACCAATTTGAAAATAGAGAGAAGCGCTGCAGCGGTTCACAACAACAAATACCAAAGCAATTAGCGAATTGTTGCACTAATCGCAGGAAACATTGAAATATTTTCATATTTGAACTGTCAGATTTATGAGGTTATTGGAGAGTTTAATTTGTTTCTATTTATTTGTGAAATTGAAATTACCTGGAGAGCGGTGGTTACGGCCGCCGCTGCTGCTTCCTCAGCGGCTGTGGTGTCGCTGGCACCAACTTTGTTGCGCCGCCTTCCGCCCCCAAGCACAGCCACGTGGCCCACGGGCGGCACGTGATGATTCATCTCATGTACGGTAAGGCTCTGTTTGATGTCGGCGGTAAAGTTACAAGCGGAACATCGGAAGGCACCCTTCCCGTTGTGATTCTTGCAATGCCTGTCGAGATTCCACTTGTAGGGTGTGCGGAAGTCGCACATATCACACTTAATCATCGGCATCGAGTGGTACTTCACATGTTTTGTATATCTGGCCTTCATGTGGGTAACGTAGGTACACTTGGAGCACCGGAAGAATCGAGTTTTGATGTGTTCCTCTTTCTCGTGCTTGTTCAGCTGCACGTGAGTTTTGGCTACGAACGAGCAAACGGTGCATTTTAAACCGAGCTTCGTTTCGTGGGTGACATCTTCGTCGGGGATATGCTGAGATTCTTCGGTCGACGTATGGCTCTCGTTCGACTCATCATTACCCTCGCAAACTGGTTGCGGCGGTGGTCGCTTCTTTCGGAACGTTTCCGAATCGGCAGCGGAGCCACCATGTACCATTTTTGTGTGTCTCAGGAGCTTCTGGAAGTGTTTAGAAGCATATACGCATTTGGGGCATGCGTAAATTCGGATTTTCTCGCTGTGGATGTCCCGCAGGTGGTAGAGATAGCTCCGGGGGTTCTGGGTGAAGAACTCGCAGTGGCCGCAGCTGTAGTTTCGTTTGACCTTGCACTCGGGCAAATCTTTGTCGGAGACGTTAGCCGAGGGCGGTGATAGTGATGATTTGTTATTGTCCTCGGGTGGACAGGAATCACTGTTGTCTACGTCGTCACCGGAGCCGTACAGTGCGTCACCACTAACGACGCTGCGCACAACTAGGGTATCTCCAGATCGATGTACCATCGACGGCACGGACATGCTAGCCCGTAGACCTGCAACACAAGAATTATATTCAATCAAATCATTCTTCTATACTGAACTCGATGTTCTCTGCGGGTTCGAGGAATGAGGGGCTAATATTTACGCTGTAGGATGTCCAGTTTTGTTGGCGAATGTTAAAGCACTTCGCTTGACATTTAAGAGACAGATGATGTAATAAATGAAGGCGAGAGTGTTGAGTTGACATGGCAACTGCAGTTGGTGAGGCCTCGCGCGGCTTACCTGGGCATTGAGGTATAAATGTAACCAGGGCCAGGAGAAAATCGATCTGGAGAAGGCAAGCAGGCAGGCGGCAGGCAGAGGCAGACAGCCAAGCAAGCAGTTAGGCAGGCAAAGCAAGCAAGCAAACGACAAGAAGAACTACGGACGGAACGGAAGTTCAGACCAATCAGCCAGCCAGCACACACAGAGAGAGCGACGACGACGACGTCGACGCCGGGACTTTGGCGCTCGCGCTCACGCTGGCGTACATCCAATACGACTCGGTCGTCTGCTGTCTCTATCTTCTCCCTATTATCATCAACATCACCGCCATCGTCGTCTAGCAGCAGCTAGAAACCATCAATAGTCGGCCACCATCGCAGGCTGAAAAAGAAGCATCGGCACTCCAGATGTTGGAGGTGCTACGCTGTTTCTTGGCCTTTAGTATTGGTTCGTTAGCGCACTTGCACTTCGGATTCTTTATCAGCTATAGAAATGGGCCACGTGCTTGGAACCATCTACCATCGGCAACGGCACTCCGCCCCATTGTGTGTTAATCGACTTCTTGTAATCAATAAGACACAATGAGGAGAACTAGTTGACTTTTGGCCCGGCCGTCTCCTTGACCCGCTTCCTGCTTATGGTCTCGACTGTACTACATGCCTCGCGCGCTTCGCTACTCTACTCACACATATACACACACTCGCACCCATACACAGAACGACGAACAGTCATCATCGTCATCATCATCATCAACGCCAATTAGATCATATTACTTCGCATGAAAGTACTATATATGTATAAACACACACACACAATCATATCCAGACATACAATAATATATCGCTTCCAAACCACTTTCGATTTGTAATTAATTGTATATTAAAATTAATTTAATTAGAACTATAACGTCGTCTTTCTTTTATCACACTAAAGTATTTAGGAAATATAAACATACAAAGAAGAAAATCACATTGTATATTGAACAAATGGACGAGAGGCTAATGACCTACTTTAGATTAGAGCAAGAGATATTTATAATTTCTTTCCAATGAACTGTATAAATATCAATAAACAAAAACACGACCTAACCCAACGCAAAAACATTAGCACTCTTGGGAAAAGATATAATGCAATAAAATGATCTTAATATCAATATATTTACACATATTGTAATTACTTTAGATAACTCTGTCTATACAAATGTAGGTAACAAAATTGGTGCATGTGGGCATTTCTAGCAAAGAAACAAAAATACAATTAACGAATGGCCGCCCTCCGCCGACTTCTCTTGGCATCGATTCCTGCGAACCAAGACTGGTCCACATCACAGGCAAATATCCCAAATGATACTAAGAATATAACACCCGCACCGGCTCGCGACCCCCCTCAGGAATCTCCTCTTCTATTCCCGTCCCTGTCCGGCGCTCGTTCCTGCTTAGTTCCTCTCATTCCTGGTCTCATTATTCCTTACATATGCTCACTATTTCCACCTTATCTTATCTCGCCGTGAGTCGCTTTAATCTCTACCATTTCGTTCATTTACTTTCCTGCTCGTCGCTATTACATTTAAAGAAACTAAAAAACCCAACAGCGTTTAATATATCGAAATAACATTGCGCAAGCGATTTTATTTTTCACGTACATCTCTTTGGATCAATATCTTTCATTAAAAGGCAATTTTAAAATAATTATAAAATTTCGTTACAAAACATATTCCAATATTGCATTTCCGCTTAAAAATGATGATGAGAATTTCTTCTAACTAAAAGTGTAGCGACTAAATAATAACATTGAAAAATACAGCCGCTTTTAAACAAATAACTAAGTGTAAACATGGACTGATTATCAGGTAAATGATGACTTTACCTTAAATCGTCGAGTAAAGTAAATATTTATATTCGATAAAAAAAACAAGTATCTTCGAATTAATTAAATGCGTAAAAAAATACATTCCTAACAAAAGATGGATGTTTGAATTTCAATGAATGTATAAAAAAATATTTCTTAACTAAACTTGATCTATTTTACCTTGTCAATAAACAATATACCATTATAATTGTATTATTAATTACCATAAAAAACAAATTAAGATCTTGCTAAAAAGTGCTAAATGCACATAAGAAGCACCTCGAAAATCATCTGACTAAGGAATAAGAACCTTGAGGAAATTTAAATGTAAACTTTATATTTAGGATATAGCTGTATTGGTATACGATGATAACGTTTGTCAATAAGTGCTAATTCATGTATGTAGTAGACATACACAACCTTGAATTACGTTACTCTAAGGGTTTGTACACAGTGAAATTAAACTTTTTTGGTTAGTTCTTTTTGTATGCAAATTATTTAATTATTTTGAAGTCAATAATGAAAATTTATACGTAACATTAAAAACAGCGTGATATAGAGCAAGGCTATAGATGTGATATGATTCATTGTCATTCTCACCCAATTGAAAATACAACAATATTTCTGGAAATTTCAATTATTATTAACTTAACTGGAATTCGAACAATAAGTTTTTCACCTTAATAAAATTAAAATATGTTAACGAAAAGAAATTGCAATTATGTCTTTCAAAGTGACAAAAATACAGTCCATTTACTAATAAAGACACACGTGGTTTGTAGTAGATTCGATATTGGTTATTTATACAAATTATTACTATCATTCTTTTTTTAATTTATATGAAAATTCAGTTCTGCAAAGTTCAAATAATTGTCTTGTTTTATTTCCATTTGTGTTTTATAATTTGATACCGATAAATTATTTGTTAGTTCTATGTAAATTAAATTAATAAGTAGTTTACTTTAAAAATCTTTAAAAATATGATATATCAATGTTTCCTTTAAATTATTAATGTTTGACATTGACGTCGAAAATAATACAACAAAGGAAAAACTGTGTGTTTGCGGGGAAGAGTAATTTAAATTGTAATGATTCACGTGCAGCGACATAGAAACTCTAGGAAATATCAACGGTAAGTTGATGTAGAAAATGCAGACACATGTGCGTTTAAATTTTTCACAACCAACAAAGATGGTAATTGGTGGCCTAATGAAACTAACTATAATAATTAACATTACAAATGTTATGCTAACATTACTTGCTAGCGTGTATGTGTGTTATTTCTTTCATTTATTTGGGTTCTGGCATAACTTTTTGAAGGCCTTCGGATCGCACACATCCATACACACACATACAAATACGCCTCTTAATACAACAGCATGAAAATAAAACGAGGCAGAAAGACTTTTACGTAACGTTTTTGTGTAAGTTGCAAGCAAATATTAAATATATCATTACTGTTGCATTGTTTATCCTGTAAATTATACTTCTTGCTAAAATAATGATATAATAAATGCATGTGGAACGTTCGATAAACAATCGACATAAATCTACAGGATGTCTTAATAACAGACCATTATCAAGCAGAAACGTAACACGAAAATACACAATTAATTATGTGGATTTGTCACTTGGATTTCATTATGTTTTCGTCTTTCTTATGCGCATTTACATATATTTTGGGTTAACGCGTACAATAAATGCTCTATAATTTCATAATTATGCCTAACTAGTTGAATTTAATTACGGTATTTACGCACGAGTCTTTCTCGAACGGCAATTATTCCTCACTCGAAAGAGTGAAGCAGAAGTGAAATAAAAAAGAAAAATGTGAATACGAAACAACAGCGGCACTTTTTCCACGTTTATGTAAATTCCGGAGGACTAGTTTTATGCTTACACATAAGTTTTCCGTATGAATACATAAACATTACACACGCACAAAGAGTACATTTGGTTCTCTTTTTATGCGGTAGATACGTTCCACAGGAAAACGCATAAAAATAAATTGCACAAAAAAGGACTAGACACACGTATAAAAATAAAGGATACGTTTCAATTTTTTTTAAAACCGCATAAAACTAAATCAATGAGTTACAATATACCGAAAATCGCATAAAAAACGGTTTATTAAATTTCAGAAAAATAATTAGTCTTACTATATTCTTTCTGAAATGTTTATTCATAATTTTATAAAAACGTTAACAATCATAGACAAGTTTATTCTTTATCCTTCAAAATTTATACAGAAAATTTTTACAAAAAAATACAGAATTTTTTTTTATGAAAGTTAATCTTTCTTCACATTTTTTTTCTTAATTATCGACGCTATATATGAGAGTGTTCGGCATAATTTGAGAACTGGTTCGAAATCACTTTCATCACTAAAAAAGATAGTCAGCATATCAGATATATAAAAACCGCATAAAAAGAGGACCGAGTGTACTTAAAGTGAAAAGTTGGGGAAGAATAAAAAATAAATTATTGAAATTGGATGAAATATAAAATATATTTTCAAATTAAATCATGTTTTGTAATGTCTTGTAATGTTAAGACTTATTGCAACTGGATGAATATAGTTTGTTCAATCTATATCCATTAAAATAGTTCTTAATCCGGATACTTTTTCAGTAACATTTTAGGATGGCTATAAAATACTGTGTGCAAGTTGCTTAACTATCGTAAGAGATCAATTTTTTGCATATGATACAAATATATTTGCGATTGTTTTGAATTTATTGAAGGTAAGACGTGGATTTTATTATCAAATTATGATTATATAGAGATGACTAATTGTTTGTTTCCAGTATTAGTTTTCCTTTGTTAATGATTCATTTTATATACTTGCCGGATTCTATTTTTTAATATCTTATTATGAAATAAATATGATATTATAATGCGTATCTTAACTGAAAATTTATATCGAGTATATTGTAATTAAATATAATTATACTTAATGAATTTTAAATAATGTGGGAGATCTATTTTTATTTTGGGGTTGCAATATATAAGTAAATATTGAACATTGTATTCCTGCAATTCTGCTGATAAGTTGATGACGCAAGAGGTGGAGGCGCGGGGTCGGCGAGGCGCAGGCGGCTTCGAAATCGCCGACAACACAAATCCAATTCACACGAAGGTTTCGTCTCGCATTCTCTCTCTTGCTCGCAAGCACAGAGCGAGAGATAGCCAAATGAAGATTGCAGATAGAGAAGAAAATAAGAACCTCGCGTTGCTAGCACGTACGCAACGAGAGTGCCATCTTCCTCCGGTTGGCCACAATCAAGGATCCGCGCGTTACGTAACCAGGGGACATTTCAAAGACATCCCACCGCCGTCGTCGTCATCGACAATGTAGTCATCTTGCCAACAGCTTGAGATGGCGGACGAAAGAGAAGCAGAATCGAGGAGGTAGTGTAAAACTCCATCGTTCGCGTTCATAATGATGTTTTCTTTATGGCCGCAGCTAGATGAACATGCCCACCATTCCATCCATCCAA